CGAAACTGGGGTCCTGGTAGTTGGGGGGAGGAAGCGTTCAAGAACTAGAGGAAGGTTGTGGGTTTCATTATTGCTATACTGTACCCTAAGTAACTCATCTCCCCACTCCCCCTCTGCAAGGTATGTCCAGTTGTCTCTAGACAACTGGAAAAAAATTTTTATATGACAAAATAATAATTTATAAATTATCAAGGGTTCACGAGGGAGTGGGGAGTGGGGAGGGAGGGGAAAAATAAGGAGCTGATGCCAGGGACTTAGGTAGAGAGCAAATGTTTTGAGAACGATGAGGGCAATGAATGTAAAAATGTGCTTTACACAATTGATGAATGTATGGATTGTGATAAGAGTTGTATGAGCCCCTACTAAAACGATTAAAAAAAAGACAAGAAATAAAGAAAACATCAAAATGGAAAAAAAAAACAAACCAACCAATCCGCCAACCACCCCGAGACCTCCCACTCCCTCTTCCTCCTAGGGACCTTCCGCCCTCTTTTCTTTCCCTGCTCCGAGTCCGGTGCCTCGCACTTGCTGTTGCCAGAGAACACCCTGTACAACTGTGATAGATTTTGTTAACAGCTGTATAGAGGTGCCATTCCCTTATCATACATTTCACTGATTTAAAGTGTCCAATTCGGTGGTTTCCAGTGTATTTATAGAGTTATGCAACCATCACCCTCAGACCGCATTCATCATCTCCAAAAGGAATCCCATGTCCCTTAGCTGTCACTTGCCAAGCCCTCTGTCTCTTCTAGCCCTAAGTGATCACCAACCCATTTCCCGTTTCTATGGTAATCCTCTGAGAGGGCTTCAAAACACTTGTGGAAAAATGGAATTCAAAGAGAATGGCATTTCTCCCATGAGCTTTTTGAAACCCCTCAGACAAGGGGTGGCATTTGTAACTGGCTTCTTTCACTTGTTGTATAATGTTTTCATCAAGGATCCTTTCTGCTGCGTCCTGTCCTTACTTTATTTTAGAGTAGCTGTATCCAAGGGGGCTTCAAAGACTTTGTGGAACATTGGGATGAAACTGGAATGGATTCCCACCCCCCACAATCATTTTGAGGCCCCTCCCTCCCATATACCATCATAGGTTACTTACTGTCCACAGTCCGTTCTGTGAAATGCGATGCTATGTCACTTAGATATTGTACACACAAAAGCAGCGGACTGCTTTTTCTTTAAGCCTCTCACACAAGCTTTATGCTTTAGCAGCGACCATCAGTGCCTTGGGAGGGATCCACTTTGAGTTTGGTCTTTAGTCCACGTCACTCACAATTGTGGAGCTGACCCTTTTGTAGCCTGGAGGGGTTATTTTCTTTGTTTTTGAGAGTCACTGCGATTGTTGAGTGTGACAAGCCTAAATCTCCCGCAATAGCATTCACCGACTTCCCCGCTTCTTGTTGTTGAAAACCCTTTTGTTTCACTTCCACCTCGCTACTTGGCCTTGGCCTCTGGCTGATGCTCTCACTAGCACCGGTTTGACTATGTGGGAGCCATAATGTACTTCATAGCAATACATATATTTTTTATTTGACATTTTTAAAAATTGGGAGTTAGTACAGAGATCATATCATTCCACAGTTCAATCACATCAAGCAGTATTGGACAACTACTACCACAGCCAGTTTCCAAACACTTTGTAGTAATATTTTTGAAAGAATATTAAACCGAGAATTAGCACTATTAACACTCAAAAGATGTGAGATATGAGTTGAAACATACACTATTTATATGGTAAACTTTTTAGATAGAAGCTACAGTACAGTACATACATAACCCAGCAACATAGACATTTTTTATTCAAGACATGTGGATTTATTATTCAAGACATATGGTCTGGCAGTGCAATTGCTTTGTGTGCAAGAGACATGAAATCCATGTGTTGTCTGCAGGAAGCTGTTGCGTTGCCTATGTCCTGTTCTCTGGTCAGGATTTCGGAGCTCTGTTATAACCTTATGGGACCACAGACATATACACAGTCGGACATTGCCTGAATGGTTGTCATGTGGCACAGGGCTCATATATACATAGGTCATTAAGAGCTGGCATTTTAACCATGTTTTAACTGTACAATTTAGTCACATTAATCACATGCCCCTTGTTGTGAAACCATCACCACCATCTATTTTCAAATGTTTCCCAGCACCCCAAACAGAAACTCAGCACCCCATCAGTAGTAATTCCCCCTCTTCTCCCCCAGCCGCTGGTAATTACTAATAGACTTTTGCCTCGATGCAGTTGCCTATTAGATATTTCCTTTGTAGTTACAATGATTATAGTTCACACCTTGAATATATAGTGATCTAATTTAAATCGATATCATCTTAACATCAATAGCATACCAAAACTATTCCTTTACCATTTCTCCCTTCTTTGTGTTGTTGCTATTACAAATGACTTTATACATTATGCGCTCAATAACAGAAATTTGTAATTATTTTTATGTACTTGTTTTTTAAACCACGTTAGGCCATAACAATCAGAGTTAATATCATAAGTCAATCATCAAATGTATCTTTACTTTTGAGAAACGATGTACAAATGCGCTTTACACAATTGATGTGTGTATGGATTGGGATAACAGTTGTATGAGCCCCTAATAAAATGTTAAAAAACAAAACAAAACAAAAAAACCTTACTGTTAAAATAAACTCAAAGTTTTCTTGAGATATTGGAAATGAGAAAAAAAATGTATCTTTACAATGACACATGAACTTACTTTCCCTGGAGTTCTTGTTCCTCCATATGGCTTTGAGTTAATGCCCCAAGTGTTCGTTCTTCTGACCTGAAGGACGATTTTTATAGGACACGGTTAGTGGAAACAAGCGCCCTCAGCTTTTGCTGATCTGGGAATGCCTTCATTTTGCCAGCAGTTTCAAAGGACAGTTTTTGCCAGATACAGACTTCTTGGCTGATAGTTCGGTTCTTTCAGCCCTTGGACTACGTCAACCACTGCCTTCTTGCCTTGTTTCTAAGGTGAAATTGGCCCGTCATCTGCTTGAGGCTCCCTTATGTGGCAATTTGCATTTTTCTCTCATTGCCTTTGAGATTCTTTTTATCATTCTTTTAGACACGTTGATGATAATGTGTTCCAGTGAGGGTCTCTTTGGGTTTATTCTACCTGGAGCTCATCGAACGGCATGGATTCCATGTTTTGTTCATGTCTTTGGTCAAATTTAGGGCATTTTGGTCCCTTTCTCCAATATGTTTTCTGCTTCCCTCTCTTCTCCAAGTGGGACTCTCATAATGTGTATACTTTTGGACACTTGATGGGGTCCCGCAAGCCCCAGAAATGTTGTTCATTTTTCTTTTTACTCTTCACATGTGACCCTGTCAGAGGCCTATTTTCAAGTGCATGGATTCTTTCTTCGTTCAGCTCCCAATTTGCTATTGAACTCCTCTAGTGAATTATTTATTTTTTTAGTTAATACTTTTCAGCTGCAGTCTTTCTATTTGACTCCCATTTTTATATTTTCTACCTTTTTAATGATATTCTTGTTTTGCTCCTTTATCATTTCCCTAATTGCTTTTAGTTCTTTGTATTTGCTTTAGCTCTGTGAACTGTTTAATACTGTCTAGTAAGTCCATTATCCGTTCTTACTTGAAGACTGTCGCTTTCCTTTGTTCTTTTGATCGGACCGTTC